CATATCATCTACATAAAGAAGTAGTAGAACCATACCATGATTAGTCTTGCGTATGAACAACGTAGTATCATGAGGACTAGAAGTAAAACCAAATTCACTGATGGTGGTGCTAAATTTGGCAAACCAAGCTCGAGGTGCTTGTTTCAAACCATACAGAGCTCGCTTCAATTGACAAACTTTGTTTGGAGGATGCTTAAGTCCAGGAGGTGGTTGCATGTAAACTTCCTCTACAAGATCACCATTTAGGAAGGCATTTTTCACATCCATCTGAAACAATTTCCATCCTTTTGCAGTAGCAATAACAATCAAACTACAAACTAAAGTAGGATAAGCAACAGGTGCAAAGGTTTCCTCATAATCAATCCCATATTCCTGAGTAAATCCTTTAGCAACCAAACAAGCCTTGTAACACTCCACAAAACCATCAAATCGAGTTTTGATCTTGTACACCCATTTACAACCTACCAGAGGCTTTCCAACAGGAAGATCAACTAAATCCCATGTATGAGTTTTCTTAAGAGCTTGTAATTCATCTTGCATAGGTTACTGCCAAAGAAGGTTAGAAGAGGCCTCTTGATAGGATTGAGACTCATGTAAGGAGGTAATAGCAGGAAAACAATGATAGTCATGAAGATAGTTAGGAGGATTTCTTACCCGAGTAGGACAACTTGAAGGTGGATTAAGGATCTCATTTTTGGGCTCAACAGGGTCAAATCCAATAGGTGATACAGAAGAAGGAAGAGAAGAAGACTCACCATTGTCTAATGCATTATCAGCAGGCAGAGCATCTTCTTTAGAACTAGGTGGAGCATGTGGAAAGGCATCATAGAGCTCATCAAATGTATTTGCATCAGAGTCACTAGGAAATAGCTCAATAGAAGGGTTAGTAACAAGTGGAGGTTGATCAAAAGATAACACCTGGAAGTTTGATAACAAGGAAAACAATGTGTTCCCAAAAGACAACATGATGTGAGACTCAAAGTTTTTGTGACACAAGATCCCAACAACGATATCCTTTACATGTAATCTCATAACCCGAAAAACAACATAATCAAGTTTTAGGCTCTAGCTTGTTAAGTTCATGAGGTGGAAGAAGAACAAAACAAGCACAACCAAAAACCTTAAGAAGATCATAGGCAGGAAGAATACCATGTAAACATTCATATGACGACTTATTATTGATGATTGATGATGGAATCTGATTAATGAGATAAACAGTTGTAAGAGTAGCTTCACCCCAAAATCGCTCTGGATAAGAAGACAAAATGAGTAGAGCATGAACAGACTCAAGGATGTGTCTGTGTTTACGTTTGGCTCGCCTGTTCTGTTCAAAAGTGTAAGGACAAGATTGTTGTGCCAGTGTACCCTATTCTTTCAGAAAGAATTGAAGTTCAATACTAAGATATTCAATAGCATTGTCAGTCCTCAAAACTTTGATAATTTTAGAGAATTGGGTTTTGACCATGGTAGTAAAATTAATATAAATTTGTGATAACTCAGAGCAATTTTTCTTAAGATATATCCAGGTAAAATGAGTATGATCATTAATAAATAACACAAAGTACCTGGAAGCCCCCATGGTAGGTGTCGAAGATGGACCCTAAACATCAAAATGCACGAGATAAAAAAAGGCAACAAAAAGAGAATGATTATTAGAAAAAGATAAAGTTGATTGTTTTGTAGATTGACATGACACACAATGTAAGGATTCATTCGAAACAGATCCTAACAAACCACGAGAGATAAAAGGATGGAGTTTATCAATTGAGATATATCCGAGTCATGAGTGCCATAAATGAAGAGGAGAAATGTTAGTAGCAGCACAGGCTTGGAAGATTTGTTGATATGGAATTTGCAAATACTCTAATTCAACAACACAAAGAAGGGTTTGGATGAATCGGTTATTTGGAAATGATGGTGTATCCATTTTATGATGAGCAATGTGTAGATAATTGAGCTCAAACAGATGCCCCACCTTGCAACCAGTTCCAAGAAGTTGTCTTGCCTGTGTGTCCTAAACAACCATAAGTAGAAAATGTTGCTTTAAGACCAAGATCACACAATTGACCAATAGATAAAAGATTATAACTAAGTTTTGGAACCAAGAAAGGTTTGCTAAAGTCAATGAATTTGTAGAAATATTGCCAATGTGACTAACATTCATAAGGGAGCCATTAGCAGAATAAATGTCAAGAAAGGAATTATTTGGTGACATTGAAGAGAAATAAGCAGTAGCTGAAGACATGTGATTACAACAACTGGAATCAAAATACCAAGGTTTAGTACCTGGAGCAGTAAATAAGGTAGTAAGAGCATTAAAAAGATTTAATATCATATGTTTTATAAATTCAAGGTTGACAATAGGTTGGTCTATCACCTCTTTGGCAACCATTGCACTAGCAGGATGAGTCACAGTTCTTTCAAAACTCGCCATAAAATCAATAAAACTCACAATATTGGAAAAATCTCTTAGAAAGTGCCTGAGAATAAACAATCTAATTTGTAGGAGAAGAGAATCCAATGACAAAGTTTCAAATCCGGAATAGATCTAAAAAACCAACTCATAAACCAAAAAATGATGATAAAATAAGAAGATCCAAGAGCTTATAGCTCTGATACCATGTTAGAAACTGAAAAGAAGGAGAAATATTTGAAGAAAAGTTTATTGCTTTCTTGAATAATGCTGTAGGTACAATGACCTATATATATAAGTATTTACAAAAATAATATTTTAAGATATAAAGTATTTAAAAAGAATATTTTAAGGTATAAAATATTTACAATAAATGTATTCACATCTTAACATTTAGTAACTATTAAAATATTAATTTAAAATGAGATTAAACTTCTACAATAAACCGTTCCAATATAACAAAAGAATTGCCACATAACTTCTTTTTTTTTTTTTTTCCAAGAAAAAATGGTTGGTCACCTTTGTTTATAGCTAGAGGTAGATGGATGCAAAGCTAGCATTGTCTTCTATTGGTCCATGGATAGTTAACAGAGAAAAACTGCATGACACATAACTAGTAGGTCCTTAACAGTTTACAATTGAAGTTCTGCTATCATTAAATTTATTGATGTCCAATGTTAGTGTTTCCTCAAAAATCCTCAGCCGGCCTTTACCACGTGACTTGAATGTTAGGCGTGCCACTTGCTTTGTCTAAAAACAAGAAAATAAGATTTTCCAGACGACCCTTCTCCTTTCCAACGATCGACCTCCAATATGATGGCTGGAAAGAACGTCTGTGAAATGAATTGTGACCCAAACGATGTTGCAAAACAGATGGTAGAGTTCTGCAAAATGGGTTACTAATTGCCTTGGAAACCTCCAAGGACTTCACAACCAAACAAGTGTAATAAAAGCTACAAATCCTAAAATAAATGCAATATCCTAAGGCAATTAAACTAACATGAACTAAATAACAGAAAATAAAATATCATAAAGATTAAATTCGCAGACAACAGAAAAAGTAAAATAACAGACAATGATTTCAACTACGCAGCCCATAATGATAACTGAAACTGAAGAAGAAACTATGGAATGATTAAAGTCTGAAAACTTATAAATTTAAATCTGGAAATTGAACTGCATGTCTGGATATTGTGTAGAAACAAAAGAACAAAGGTAGAAAACATTCATCCTATTTACATGAACGAATAACATAACTAAATCTATAAAAAGAAGAAGAACTAACAGAATCAAAAGGGCAGACCTGTTTTGAAGGCTAAGTTGCTTCCAAATGTTTAAAAACTAATCTAAATTGGGATTTGCAAAAGAAAATATGAACAAAGATGGGCAAACCTAGGCTAAGAATATGAACTAATCTGGAAAATCTGGAAACTATTGCTGAAATCTGGAAAATGCAGTCTGAAAGCTGAAAAACATGATCTGGGCAGTCTGTGTGTGTGTTGGGCAGGCCTCAAACTGTTCTCTTCTCTCTGTATTTATTTTCTTCGGTGCTGGTAACTTTCTCCATGATCTTCGGTACTGTTCCTCCATTTTCGGCACTGTTCCTCCATTATCTGGTAATGGGATTGCATGTCTGGCAGTTATTTAATAGTTATTTGATTTTTATTTAATCTTATCTCCAACAACCTTAAAGATAACTACCTAAAAATCCTCAATTTCCAATTTTAAATCAAACTCAAACTACCAGATCCAATCTTATCTTCTACCACCTAAGATCCAACCTCCTTGGAAATCCGTCTAGGCCATTAAATTGTAAGCCAGCCCAGCCCAACCCAACCCAAATCCAACCTATTGATTTTCTTGATAATTGGACTTTACCTTGACACGTGGCTTTACCCTATTGGTTTATTTTAGGTGTAAACAGTTAGGTTCAGCTATCCAAACACCATACATTCTGAACAATTTACGTTTCATAAAGTAGATCAAATGCCAACAATCTAGGGAGCGCAATGTAATGGGGCAGTAGCCACCAGTGAACAGAGATGGTAAGTATCAGCATCTTATCAGTCAACCGGTGATTTCAATACATATAACAGAACCGTTGTGGCACAGAAATTTTCAGTTGATGCGTAGAAACTATTAACACTTCCAGTTCCTACTGTCTACTACATTTCACAATCATCCCAACCTAGTGGTCTCTTCCAAATCAAACTCTGGTTGTTGAAGCCTGGTATGCCGAGACAACCTGTTCATTCCAGCAAGACCTGGAAACCACAACATGAACAATACTGATCAGGAAGAACAAACAATAATATATTTATTCTTCAGTTATTATATGTGTGGTTATGTTCAGGTGTGTGATGTGTGAATTTCTTTCCAAGAATTCATGTTTAAGCAAGGGTCTATTGCACGTCTACCTTCAATCATTCTATGGAGAGCTGACCACCAAGTGTCACTTGCTACTTTGTACTGCTGCAACGCATTGTCTATGTCGGTGTCGTGCTTTCCCTCCAAAACATCCTGCAGTGTTATGACAGCATCTTTTGTTTTCTTGAGTATATCATTCCCATTTTCAAAATCCAACCTTTGAAGATCAACCCGTGAAAAAGTAAGGCTAAGAGCTAGGGAAAACTGAGCAGCAGCAGTCCAGCGGGAAGAAGCAAACTAGTTCCTCTTAATTCCATCCAACCTCTTGGTTTCTTCTCTTCCCAACTTGCCCGCTTCACATCCAAAAACCCAGCTATGTAAATACTGAGCATTTGCAGGCCCTGTACTTTGAACCATTTTCACAAATGCACTTTCTTCCTTAGATAACAGTTCCTCTGGAGTATCATGTTCTGGAACCTAAAGAATAGACTGAAGTTTCAAATCTAATGAACCCTTTCAAAACACAAGACCAAGCATGAAAAACGTGATTATAAAGGTCAGCTTGATATTTGCAGCCAATCCAATGGAACAATCAAATAATGTTGTGAATTTTAGTCATCCTTTAATTGTGTTATACAAACCCACATGTTGGCTGTAAGAAAGCAGGAATTCTCAAGAATAAACAATATAACATCCAATTTGAACGCTCACCTGACCAGCATCAAGCACAAGAATCTGGTCACAGTCAATGATTGTATTTATTCTGTGAGTAATAACAAGCATGGTGCAGGATTTGAATTCTTCCTGAATGGTTTTCTGGATAAGAGCATCAGTCCTAATGTCAACAGCTGCAGTTGCTTCATCAAGAACAAGAATCTTCGATCTTCTCAGCAATGCTCAAGCAAGACTTAAAAGTTGCCTCTGCCCAACGCTGGAATTCTCCCCACCTTCCAAAACCTTGACATGATTCAAGTGAAATTAGACAGTCAATAGTTTCATTCTCTCTCGCTTTGGACATTACATAGAAATATGCATTTTGTTGCTCATTGGTTAACAATGTTTTCCTTTTCTGATTTTGAACTTTATGTGACACATCAATTAACTAGTTTAGCATATTACAAGTGTAAGTTTAGTACCTGAGCATACAGACCAAAAGGATTCTGGCTGATGAAATCCTTCAAACATGCCCTCTCCAACACCTCCCACAGGTCAGCATCATTGTGCTCACTAAATGGATCAAGATTAAATCATACTGTTCCTGAACACAACAAAAGACAATCGGATTGAGACAGTTTATCATTAGAAGATTTCAAAATCAAAAGGAGACGATTGTAATGTTAAAGCATACTAGATAAGCAGGAAATGAAATAAAACAACTATCATGTTAACTTCCCTAGAATGTCATAAAGTACCTGAGAAAAGAACCAGTGATAATGGTATGATACTAAGAGCCTTCCGCAGATCTGTAAGTCCAAATTTAGCAAGATCACAACCATCTATTGAGATCCTTCCGTTTTCCTCTTCTACCATCTGAAATAATGCATTCAACATGCTTGACTTTCCTGCAGCAGTTCTTCCCACAATCCCTGCTTTCTCACTTGGAAAAACAGTGAAGGATAATCCATGCAAAACTGGATGAAGTTCAGGCATATAACATAGGACAACATCCTCAAAGTTAATTGATCCCACTGAAGGCCACCTGGGCAGTGGCCGATTGCTCTAAATTATATCTGAAACCACTCAAGGCAGATCAATATATGTGTCTACATGCTGCACAGCATTTAAGATGTTCTCGGCCCTACTTGCTTCTCTTAGAAGATCACTCAAAAGACTGGTGATTTGTAAAGAATAACTGAGAAGTAGACCCATTGTTGATGCAGATGCAGCCTTGTTTTCTGCTCTTCCATTCTGCATAACTACAAAGGTAGTTGTCAACCAAATCATGATACCTCCTAAGTTTCTGACCTCATACTAAGCCAACAATTTAAACTAATATTTGCATGGGTGAATCTTATGTTATTATCCATGGCTTCCCATTAATGTTGGCCATCCTATCATATGCTTTGTAAGCACGGAAGGTTGATAAACCATTTAATGATTCTCCAAATTGTGCATAAACAGGAGATCTGGTTATGAAGTCCAAGCATCTTATTTCACGGGATGTGCTCTGAAACAGCAAAATTTGAGCAGAAAAAGTGGTTCTATAGTGATTCATATCTAAGGTTTTAAGCAGTAAAATACCTGATAATATAGATAGGTGGCATAAAACAATATAAGAAGTGGTAGTATGGTCCATAACGAAGTTGTGCTCACAATGCCTATCAAGGCAAAAGTTGAAAGGAGCTGCCAGACTTCACTGAGAAACGTCTTCACTAAATTGGAAACTTGGCAATCTATATCGTCTATGTCCCTTGAAAACCTATTTATCACACGTCCTGTTGGATTGCTGTGAAAGAATAGCATTGGAGCTCTTAGGATTGAATTTAACATTGCACCATGCAACCTTCTGACAGCACAAAAACTTTAAGTGATCAACCAAAAGGAGTTTATCAACGTCACAGTTACCAAAATCCATAAGAAAAATGATCAATTAAAAAAAAAAAAAAAAAAAAACAGCAGATTGGGGGTAAATAATATTTGTAACTGGGTGAGATTCATCATAGGATTTATGGCTTACTTAAATAGGTGTCAAACGAAGCATCTGCTGACTGTAAACAAATCTTTCCCAATGCTAGAAGTGTATAAATGAGAATGTAGTAGCCAGGTCTATAATTTTTTTAAGTACTTTAGCCTGTCCAGACACTTAACCAGATGCTACTTAAAATTCGAAGAACTTCAGTTGATAAATAACATGTAAAGAGTATCATAACTACACATAGGCCTCCAAGTGCATCTTTGTACCTCCAAGTAGAGAATGTATTAACACATAATTTCAAATAATGATCTCATTTTCAATCTAATGAACAAAAGACCGCACTCCAGCTGGGTTTAGATTCCCTCCAAAGAGAAGAAGAATAAATATTAATGTTCATTACTTGAAAAAAAGGGGGAAGACATACCAGCTGCAAGCACTATAGTTAAAAAGATATTTTCAATTACCTCATCAAAAGATTCCAACTGACAGACACCTGTTTCCCCTTCGTTCTTGCTTGATAAGCACAGATTTCCTCCCTTTCTCCTTTTTTGCATGGTTTTCCAGATCTTTCATCCCAACAATCCCATTAGTAGCTTCTTTAGAGATCTCTTCATCTAAGTTTTTTTCTTCATGTTCTTTTCTTTGTTCATCCATCTCTCCCATTTTCCCTGCATTTTCTATTATTTTCTGGAATAGCTTGCCATTTTCCAAGAGCACCTCAAAAGTTCCCTCTTCTTTAATCATACCTTCCGAGACCAAAATAATTTGATCCACATGGGAAAGAAAATGCAGCTGGTTAATGACAAGTATCCGGGTTTTTCCTTTGCAGCTCTTCTTTAATACATTTGTTGAAAACCTGGTACAAGCAGAAATCCCAAAAAGAAAGAAAAAGAATAATTCATGACAAGATCTAATTGCTGCAACTTATACTAAGATAACATAAAAGTCTACTGGGATCAGGGTAGTCCTGATCTTTCAATGCTTAGCATGAACTAACCTGTCGTCCAACATGTGCATCTAGCACACTTAAAGGGTCATCAAATATGCAGACATCCGAATTGGAATAGACAGCTCTTGCCATAGAAACTCAATGCTTCTGCCCGCCACTAATATTCACCCCTTTCACCAATCTCTGTGAGATCGTGACCTTGAGGGATAATGTCACTATAGGAGACATTCTACATTAAGCATAATTAATTATAAAGATACAAGCAATTGAATCTGCTTACAGGAAGTAAGTCAAGATCATGCTGTAATTCAGTAACATCTATTGTCTTCCAATATTGTTCCAATTCAAATCCAGATCCAAATAGTTTACTGTCACGTACCTATAAGAACAAAAATGAAAGCCAGAAGCATGCATGTTAATATGAAAATTTTCAAATGCAAAGGAGATCAGAACCAGTGGATACAGAGGAAGCAATATTCCAGAGCCTTAAAAATCTATGACTTACGGTAGCATTGAAAATCCATGAAACTTGAGGAACATAAGCAACTGTTCCTCGAACAACAACATTGCATCAGCCATGGGAGGCAGCTCCCCTAGCGTTGCTGATATAAGTGATGTTTTCCCTTCTCCAGTTCCAGTAATAATTGCAACTAAGCTGCCAACTGGCACATCCAAATTGATGTTTAATAATGTAGGCTTCTCTGCCCGGAAAATTGAAGCAATTTGAAATTTCTAGTTATGGTAGAAAAAAGAAACATTTGAGTATAAACAGCATTGATAAACAAAGTAAAATTGATTTAGCAATTCTTTTTCAAGTGATTAAATTACAAATTGAAAGTATATATTCAAGAATGAAAGTAAAACTCAACCTTTGGATCCCATGAAAAATCTCCATTCTTAACTGAGATGGCTGGAAGTCCCAGTTCACGAGGTGGATTTGGTGCTAGAGTTCTCTCTTCAGCTAGGAGTAGCTACTCCACACGTTTTAATGATGCATTAGCATTTACTACCTGAAAAGCTAAAACATCCGATGGTTGAAAAAACAATAGAAGCAATTTGATGCTATGTATTTTAAATTTATTGATCTTTTGAAATCCTGAATTTTTGTATCTGTTTCAAAGTGAAAGAATACAGCATTAGAAAACAAAGTTGAAAATAAGAGATTCGGTGGTCTCCACAGAGCAGCATACACACAAAACAGAGGTGAAATGCACAAAACCTGACTTAGTAAACCAGGAAGCATCTCCAGAGGAAATTGTATCACTGCAAACAAAGAAAGTGACGTAAATGCCCTAGATGGTGTCAGATCTCCACCAAGCAAAGTGAATGTCCCAAATGAAACCACTGTCACAACAACTGGTATGCTATTGAGTATGAAACCATTAAGCTGCAACAGAAGACAACTTGTTAAAACTTGAAAAGAATGCAATTCCTGAGTTAGCCTAGTAACAAGAGCTTATGATAAGATGAAGAATACCACATGATAGACAGATTGATGGTGTTGCATTTAAAGTTTTTCATGGAAAAGTGAATAGATACAGTTGTGATGGAAATTTTGTATAGCTACCATCAAAACCAGCCTGCTTCTGGCATCTTTCAAAAAATACATGAGCGATAACAGGCTAAAAATGTTCAAGTTTCAAGTCATACAGCAGATAGAAATTGTGCTTTGTGACACCATGACAGCTCCTCATGCTGTGCACTCTAGACTTGAGATTGAAAACTCTTCTCCCATGCATAACATCTAAAACATCTTCAGGCATAGAGCCAGTAAATGTAAAATCATTGTTGATGCCATAACATGTCTACAAAAAATTCAACCATACTTCACAGTATCCATGGCAGCTAAAATTTCATTCATGAGGCTAACTCTCTTGTCTGTCCACTGCAGTCCTTCCTTGGTCACTTTTCGCATTTGGCTAATGAGAATGGTCTATCCTCAGGACTCAGGAGACAGAAAATTAGTACAAGACACAATGGAAGAAAGATGAAACAAATAAATTCATGATGGACAGTGTAGAAAACAACGGCATAAAGGCATCAGAAACCACTGATTTCTGATAGCATTTCTCAAATCATATTGTTTAAAACTTTTTATTAGAAACAAAACTTAATTTAGGCATGGACTTTTCTTACTTGTAGAGGAACCATAAAAACTAGAATTAACGATCCAAGAAGTGAAGCAACACCAAGCTGCTGGTAAAGGAGAACCATAGACATGATAATACAAAATGGAGCTGACCATAATCCATGAAGTTGTTCGTAACTTGCTAGACAAAGAATAGGTAAGGGAAACCTGTGGACTTACAAATAAGATGGCTATCTCCACTTTTTGCTGTGCATCAAAAAAAAAAAAAAAATCTCCACTTTTTTGCTGTGTATCATATATATATATAGAGAGAGAGGATAGCACAACTCCCAAAAAAAAGGGCGGTAATATAGGGACGACCTTTTTGTACTACTTTTTTATACAACTTCCACATGTCGGTAAGTAAGTACTTGTATTCAATATCACATGTCCCAAATGAATAAAAAGAGCCAATCATTTAAATGACACATAAGGTTGTACAAAAAGGTGGTACAAAAAGGTTGTTCCTAAATCATTTTCCATACAACCTTAAACAATGACATTTCATTTAATTAAAATCCAATTATAATTTAGAAATCCACCTTATTAAATGTTGATATCTGTATTTGGAAATTGAAAACTCAATTCAAAATTTTAAAACTCACTTTATTAAATATTGATACATCGATTTGGAAACTAATTATATTAGAATATATAATTAGTTTCCGAATACAGGTATCAACATTTAATAGGTGGATTTCTAAATTTTGAATTGGATTTTAATTAAATGAAACGACATTGTTTAAGATTGGGACTTCAATTTGTTTTTGGGAGTCAGGATTGATATACACTTTTTCCACATATATGTATATGTGTATATATATATAATCACTTTTTTCCAATTAATTTTCAGTTGGATGCTCTTTAACATGGTCTAATACCCAAGTATTTTTCCCTAAATGTGTCGTTTCATGTTTAGTCTCTATAAGGGTCTAATTGCAAATTAATACAAGTTTAAGGTCTTTGGTCCTAAAAGACAAAATCTTCAGACTTATTTGCAAATCTCATAAGATATCAAATTGGTTCTCAAGGAAAATTCCTGGCTTAATTTAATTTTTAGTCTATTAACTATCACCTTGATTTCATTTTAGTCTAGAAACTATATTTTATTTCTAAGTGGTCTATTAACTTTCAGATTCATTTCAATTTCGTCTACTTGGTCAAAGATAACAGAACACTTCTATTATGTTAAGGAACAGTTAATCCTCTGACTATATTTTTTTAATCTTTTAGTCCTTAAATTTATATTTGTTATAAAAATAACTTTTTTACTTAAAATTATTATTTATAGGCTCTGATATCAGATTTTTATACGGGTTTTCCTATTTCTTTAATTTGGTATTAGAGCCTGAAAGTTAATAGACCACTTAGAAATAATAATTTTAAGTATAAAAATTTAGTATTAGAGCTTAAAAATAATAATTTTAAGTATAAAAGTTATTTTTATAATAAATATAAATTTGAAGACTAAAAGATAAAAAAAAAATATAGTTAGAGGACTAACTGTTCTCTAACAGAATAGGAAGTTTTCCATTATCTTTGACCAAGTAGACGAAATTGAAATGAATTTGAAAGTTAATAGACCACCTAGAAATAAAACATAGTTTCTAGACTAAAATGAAATCAAGGTGATAGTTAATAGACTCAAAATTGAATTAAGCCAAAATTCCTACATGGAATCATTCCAAACCAGTATAACTTTGTCATTCCCCCAAACTCAGGTTCATTATGTTTAGAAATCTCACATGGTATTTATATACTGTTAATCACATAGATATTATTATTAAGATATCCAATAATAACAATAAACTACAGATTAGATTGTAGATCAATATAGGATTAAAGAATGAGACTAGTTTGTAGCCCCTGAAATTACATTCCATATTACGCACAACACTGTGGATTAGTAGTTTAGTGTAGATGTGTACCTGAATTGCATTCACATCTGTTGTGATCATGTTTGTTACCTTTCCTGATGGAAAATACTTTTGAGCCTCATGAGTTAGTCTTAAAGATTTACGAAATATAGCAGCCACCTATAAAAGAAGCAGTAAGATATAAGGAAAGGCCCAATTCCGAAAGGCTAACTAATTCAGTAAAGCTATAATAGAACTTTAACATATGAAAATATGCTGTACAAAAAAGCTCCGTGCATGTTGAAGAGTTTCTGTAAGATGGAGAAAAAAGTTAACCAAAGTGGACCGTAGACAGAAACCAACATGCCAGACATTCTAAATAAACTGGTTCAAAGATAGCATGCCAAAGGCTGACACAAGTTATATTAAGTGGTCAATATAAGAACGAGATGGGAATCATACCGGGCAAATAAAAACTAAGAAGGCATAAATATATCCATTACAAGCTAGGTCTCCTTGTTCCATTGACTGTTGAGCATAAAATGGAAATCATGAACTTATTTAAAATGCAATTCATGGAACCTAGATATTGTTAAAGGATATGGGAAATTGATTATGAATCTTCAAAAGGATTGAAGAACTAAAATATGAAGCTAACCTTTAAGAGATGGTTCAATAAGATTGGCCCTGCAAACTCAAAAAGGTCATAGCAAATCTATGATATTCAAATGAGAAACAATAAGCTGCTTGAAAAGAAATTCCAGATTCTCAAACACAATCTATATAGACAATTGTCCATGCAGAGGAAAGTCTTCATGGTCGAAAACCCTTCATATGGTTTTCTACAAGGATATCTCTTCTATACAGAATATGCAATCGAAAAAAGGTACAAGCTCACTACCTTGAATAGCCATCCCAACAGCAACTTGTAAAGACATTGATACGAAAAGAAGTTAACCGAGGTAGACATAGGTCAAGGAAGAGAATACATACACAAACTTCAGCTAGAATTATTTGTTTGGAAAAAGTTTTGGAGATATAGAGGGAAAATGATACCTTTGACCTAGGCTGTTATTCATCACTCTTAAAAGCCAGGGCTTCTTTCTTTGAGTTTCTTCAGCCCAACATCTTTGGAAACTGCAATGATCAAAAATATTATAAATGAAGGCTACGGTAAAATTCATGCACTGGCAAATGAAATGGAAGTAACAGATGCAAACTTCTTAATCAGTGTTTCAGTCCAATCCCAAGTGCCTAACTTCCAAACATCCTTTTCAGTTATAGGTCTTCCATAACCCTGCTGCAGGAGAGGAGTAACCCATCCAAAATATATTCCTAGAAGTGGACAATGCACCAAATATTTAGTTATAAGACCTAGATAAGTGTGAAGTGTGTCACCTCTACCACAACACTTCTTTTACCAAGAAATGCATGCAAAGTACACAAATTTGATGAACTAACAAAACAGCAACTAAGGAATCTAGACTTCCGGGAGGAAAAACACCATTTTGCACAACCTAGATAATAACAGGTGGCTTGGGGCTCATCTAACAAAATACCCAAAACTTGAACCAGTTATGGTTTCTGAGCCTGTGGTAACCTCAATGCCAGTTTGAACTACTTACTAGAGGATATATTGGCCTGCCTTTCAGGACAAATGTGCTCTCCTTCAGGAAGTGCTTCATATTCATCATTGTCAAGAGACTCAGTTTGCATTATAATGTAGCTAGGATAAGGATTCAAATTAGGAACATAAACCAGCAGAAGGATCCCAAATAAAGCCTACATCACAAAAATAAACATGAATTAATGTAATATGCATCCATGAAAATGACTTCAACGTAAATGCAAATGATAAGCCCCGTGTCATAGATAAATGCTCATTTGCCTATCCTTTATTTTGATCTGTAAAGTGCCCATCGTTCATCCCAGTCGGGTAATAACTATCAAATTTAATGTTACACCATCCCTAGCAAGGATGGACATCCCAATCACAAGCCTGATACCAGGCTACTTTGAGTCTCCAGAAGTGATGGCCTCAGTTAACCAGGAGCAGGCCTGCTCTGGTGTTTATAACACTGATTAAACAGGACCCGCTTTAAGGCCAAGACTAGAATTGACAAAATATGGCCTCTCTGGGAACAAGGTCGTAGATTCCAAGTCCCAACATTCAAGTCAACCTTACAGAAGGAAAGAGATATAAAGATTAAAGATAGGGATGTACAACAAACCTCACATAAAACCATGCTGATGTACAAAAATACGGCAGATCTGCATGCAAATAAAATGGTAATTATTAGCTGGCTGTCAACATGTATAGATGTCTACTCCAGAAAGAATGCGTGAAATCTCACAGCAAAACACAATCACAAAGGGAAAAGGTGAGAGAAAAAAAAAAAAAAGGATCGTTTACACTTCTGGTAGAGAAGAAACTAAATTAATTAATGGGACAAATCCAACCCATTGTACAAATCCCTCGTTGGAAGGACAACACTGAGCAGTGTAGCGTCCCCAGCCAAACGTAAACAACTCCAAACCGCACATACCAGTGGAAGTCCTTTATGTAAATTTTAGTTTCCAATCCAATCATAGTGACCATGGAGCACCAAGCAAGAGCTTCAACGATCAAAGAAGTTGCCCGCAAAGAATAACTGCATATATGAAGTGTTTATTTAAGCAGCCATGTTGCTTGCAACATCCAACAATCGCTTAGAAACGGTTTATTTATTTGAAAGACAAACACCAAAAAAATAACTAAATCTAAAACTCATTTTAGAACAATTTGAAGACAAATCCTACTTCAAAGGGAGCGGGACCAGTTTCTCCATCCAAATTAAAGATTGAAATACCGAAGACCAACCTTGAAAGAGGCTCAGCAACACAATAACCAGCCAATAATCCCAACATACAATTATAGCAATTTGACCTTAAACGCAACCTTTGGGCTTTGGCATCCCTCTTAGTGTGTGTTTGGTGCAGCTGGTGAGAAGTGCTTTTGTAGCCTAAAAGGTCCAGCTGCACCGAACACCCAAACTTTTGGAATTTACTTTTGCTGCTGGAAGCTGATACGAGCTTCCACCTTTTGAAAATGAGGAAGCACGAAATTGGAGCTTTTGCGCGTGCTTCTCGCTTCACTTTAATGAAATTTACCCATTATACCTATTTTACCCTCATATTTTACCAAATTTACGATTAAACCAATATATAAACACAGTTAAATACCTCATTTTCGCGTCTCCCTCTGCCGATGGGTCTTCTCTTTTCATCTTCTCCATTTGCCGCAAAAACCTCCCTTTCTCTCTTTTCACTACCCACAATCCTCATTCCCCAGTTCGCTACTTCTTGGGGGGTTTTGTAGAGGTTTTCTCCTACTCATTTCATTCGACTATCCGATTTCTTTACAAAAGAAAGATAGCAAGAATAGACTGAGGGACTGAAAGAAGGAGATGGGTTCTCTACAAGATGTG